CTAGTTACAATTATAATTTTTCTTCATTGGGATAGTTGTGGAATTTTATATATATATTTTTTTTTTGCGCTTGTGGTGTTCCTTCCGACTCGGGTTCTTAGCCTTAGCGCGCACAATACGTGGGCTCGATTTCCGAGCGAGGAGGACTTTTATCGAGTGTCTCCGCCTGTCTTCTGGAATGTTGCCTCCCGCTCAGTCAGGGTCAACAGCCCGCCCCCTAAATGATCAGAATTGTGTTTGTTGGGGAATAACACGCTAACAATTACATTTACCATAACCTACGACCCGAAAATGGCACACTCTCGCCAGATAAGATCTAATGGTGTCTTGGACCGCCGCCGATTTCTGACCCCCCTGTCAGTAATGTAGGCCATGTTGGTGGAGAGAGACCGAAAAAGAAGTGTGGGGTGTGGGAGAAAGAGAGAGAGAGAGAGACAGAGAAAGAGACGGCAGAGAGGGCAGGAGTGGGATGGAGAATAAGAGACGAACAGACAGACTGATAGACAGACAGAAACGGCGGCTTGGTTGGAGAGAGAGAGAGAGAGTGTGAGTTAGAGAGAGAGAGAGAGAGAGAGAGAGAGAGAGGCGGGCAGAGAGGGTGAAGGTGCGATGAAGAAAGAGAGACAGACACATAGACAGAAACGGCGGCTTGGTTGGACACACGCAGAGAGAGAGAGAGAGAGAGAGAGAGAGAATGAGAGAGAGAGAGAGAGCTAGAGAGGGGGGGGGATAGAAACGGAAACATGCGACAGAAAGACACAGATTGTTGAGAAAGAGAATTAGACAGAAAGGATTGAGCGCTGGAGAGAGAGAGACAGAGAGAGATAGAAGGGGCAGGGGAAGGAGGGGGGGGGGTGCCAATAGGCTACGATTTTACGTACTTTGTGGCCCCATAAATTACCATCGTACTTTTTCTTAGTGTCTCAGCAGAAGAGACCTCCAGTTGACCCAGTAATAATTGCCCCTCTGAGCCTCTTAAAACCAGTAATGACTCTAATCTTTTAGTCCACCTGTTTTCAGTTCTTTGGTTTCCTTCTTTCGACCCCAGTGAACTCACGTCATGTAAATAAAAAACATGTTGTGAAATAAACCGGAGCTGCGACCTCCATAATATATGGGGCGCGAGCCCATCAGCTCCCCCGATATAGGTACAGTTGGTTTGCGTTTGGTGTCATATTGCCTGACTGAACTCAAGTTGAAAATACTAACTTATTATTCTCATCGAGGTCTCAAGTCCAAAGATGCCATAAGACTCTTCTCACTGTCGACGTCTTGTGATGTAGTGGCTAACGATGCCCGAGTTGGGAACATTTTTATTGAGTATCTTTTGTCTTTCTGCTGATATGTATCCTTTTCAGCCCGTGTTAGCCCTGGCAGTCAAGGTCGGAAGACCTTCTCCAGAATGATCTAAATTGTGTGGATGGGGGCGTAAAGACACCTGCAGTTTAAAAAAAAGAGAAATTATTCTTCTTTCTAACAGTAGCATTGCATGAACCTTCTTTTTTTACCTTAACGAGGACGTGCATTGTTGTCGTCTGAAATAGCTTACGCCCTGAAAATAGACATGAAACTGATATTTATGCCCGATTTTGTGTATATTCTGTTTCTTTAGCTGAAACTTGAAAAGAGAGTCAGTTAACATCATGCAGAATAAAGAAAGATGGACATTTTTGGTTTGTTTCTGATTTGTGTGTTATGGTTCGAAATTTGCGGCAAAATTGATTTTGATCCATTGATCTGATATTTTATAATATGTCCACTATGTCTGAAAAAGGTTAAAGGTCAAAGGTTCGAGGTCTGATATGATTGATGAGATTGCTGGTTGTGTTCTGGAACAGGAGCCATTAGTCTTAGCTGACTCATCGCGGCCATGCCCCGAAAACAATATGTTTATGACACCAGTGAGAAATGGTGTTTTCGTAAAATCCATCATTTCATTTACCTTATCAATAATTATCCTGGTTCGAGTCTCAGCTCGGTCCGACGTTGGGAAAGGAACTTTTCACGAATGTCCTTCTTGGCTCGGTCCTTTCGGAGATGGACGTTAATTCAGGCGGTCCTGCCTCTAAAATAACCTAACAGTGTTGATAGGTGCGTTAAACCTATACCATTTCACGATTTCACCAATAATGATCCTATGTCACTGAAGAGTTTTTGGCCCTGGGCCCATATTTCTTGATTAGCCGTACAGAGATTAAAAAGAGACTCATCATATAGTATGACGTCACATCCTCACGTACCTTCCCGTTACTGTCTCTTCTTCTGTTTTAAGTTTCTGAACTTGACGGGGTTTCTGAACTTGACGGGGTTTCTATACTAGATGTAGTTTCTGAATTTAAAGTGCTGAATTGATTCTCTAGCACACTTATAGTTATTTTGAATTGCAATTCTTATCAGCGTTGGCATATGGTTTGAAGTCTCCAGGTAGGAATTTTTTAAACTCTTTTACATTCTGGAATTTCGGAAAAACCTCAAGTTCTTTTTTGACAGTACCACGAGA